AGTTTGTGTGGTGAGATGTTGAAGAGGAAAATAAAGGGTAAAGAGATAAACGAGGCAGCACTGCCTCATGGGCCTTGCAGGCAGTAGCTTCTGTGATTTATTAGAATTTATCAGAATACCAAATCAGTTTCCATTCCTTTGGCTAAATAGAGTACCTTCCATGTAAGCCCAATTTTGCCTAGCTAGTTGCTTTCTTCTCTGTGCTTCTTCATCTACTGCTCTAGCTGTGTTAGATGTGTAGCTTCTTTTTCATTCTGCTGCTGCTAAAGATATCGAAGGTGCTAGGACAGACATACCATTCACCTCATATCTTCCTTATCCCCTTTGTATAGTCTAACGTAGCATTGATATTTTGTTCCCTAGCATACCTAAAGACAGTAGAATTTCAGGTGGTGGTAAAGCTTTGAAAAGAGTCAAGTTTTAAAATACGGGATCAAATAAGAGATGAAGATTATTATACCTACTTTGTAATAAATACGTTTAGAATTTTTTACCTCATAGCTTAGTAAATTACTTCTTCCTTTTTTTAGAAAAGAAGGAAAAGAGTATTTGTATTATAGACCAACACCATAAACAATAGTTTTCTTCTAACACATCTCTGGTTTCAAACTTCTGGTAACAGCATTAAACCTGGGGAACAAAGAAGAAGTACGAGAGAGAGTGAGAGACAGAGAGACATAGCTAGAATGTGCTTAGATGGCTAAGATGGCTGATAGCTAAAATTGTCGTGTAAAAAGTAATAGTAACAACAGTTACAATGAGTGAAGTGCACCCAGTTGTTTGGTCAAGGGAGACGTGGCATCGCCGGTGCTCATTTGGAGTCCTGTTGGGAGACAAACTGGCTGATATACTTAAGCACCCTACCTTGTCAGCCTAAGGAATAATAATCTTATTCTTGGAAATGCTTCATTCATGGAATGTTTGTATTTATAACCCCATTTTACTATTAACTCATTGTTGAGATCAGGTGTCCTTTAGATAGCTCTTTTGTTTGCTGTTTTTTTATTCCGAGTTAAAGAACATTCTTTTCCTATTTTTCTTTCTTTAAATTCAGAATTAGAAGAGATCTTTTCCACAGACCTTGTGCCGGGAGATATCATGGTGATTCCACTAAATGGGATAGTCATGCCTTGTGATGCAGTGCTTATTAGTGGGACTTGCATTGTAAATGAAAGCATGTTAACAGGTAAACTAAACTAAATGAAAAAATATCTCGTAAGTTATTTATAATGATAATAGGATTAAGTAGTTACTGGTTAAGCTATTTTAAAATTACCTAGGCTCTTTATATCCTTTTGCTCATGAATGGTATGGAGATTGAAGATTTTTCTTCTTCTGCGGAGACTAAATTCTGCGTACTCAGCTCTGATACTAACTCACTAGCCCAGTGTTTGCTACGTATTTGCTCCTGGCC